TGTTACTACTCAGTTTTAAATGTTTTATAATTTCCATTATGACTTCTTCTTTGATCCAGGGGTTAGGTACTGGTGTGGTTCTTCATTCTCAAACAAATAAGGTATTCTATTATCTTTTTTCTTTTTGAATTCTAGCTTAAATCTATTGGTCCAATTTATTTATCACAATTCCAGAAGTTGAGCAGTCTAAGAGCAAGGCGCTAATATAGAGTTTAGCGAGGGTCCCTTCTCTAGTTCATAAAGTTACTGTGTCCTCACAGTGTGGAAGGGTCAGATGAGATTCCTTGGGCCTGTTATTAGGATGCTCATCCATCATGAAGGCTCTGCTCTTGTGACCCAATAACCTTACAAAAGGCCCAACCTCCTAATACCATCATGTTGGAAATTAGGATGTCAGCATACAGATTTTGGAGAGACTTAAACATTAAGACTATAGTTATAGATGTTGGGTGTCATACACTATATAGGTCAAGTTGATTAATCTTCTATTTAGATAGTCATTCTTTAACTGATGGTTTGTCTGTTTTTAACCTTCTATCAGTTACCCTCTTATGCTTTGTAGTTGTCCTAACAGATAATTCTTTTCTTTCTATTCTTGCCTCCTTCTTTTTTTTTCCTTTTCTTTTATTATTCTTATGTGCATACAAGGCTTGGTTCATTTCTCCCCCCTGCCCCCACCCCCTCCCTTACCACCCAGTCCGCCCCCTCCCTCTCCCCCGCCTCAATACCCAGCAGAAACTATTTTGCCTTTATTTCTAATTTTGTTGTAGAGAGAGTATAGGCAATAATAGGAAGGAACAAGGGTTTTTGCTAGTTGAGATAAGGATAGCTATACAGGGCATTGATTCACATTGATTTCCTGTGCGTGGGTGTTACCTTCTAGGTTAATTCTTCTTGAACTAACCTTTTCTCTAGTTCCTGTTCCCCTTTTCCTATTGGCCTCAGTTGCTTTTAAGGTATCTGCTTTAGTTTCTCTGTGTTGAGGGCAACAAATGCTAGCTAATTTTTTAGGTGTCTTACCTATCCTCACCCCTCCCTTGTGTGCTCTCGCTTTTATCATGTGCTCAAAGTCCAATCCCCTTGTTGTGTTTGCCCTTGATCTAATGTCCACATATGAGGGAGAACATATGATTTTTGGTCTTTTGGGCCAGGCTAACCTCACTCAGAATGATGTTCTCCAATTCCATCCATTTACCAGCGAATGATAACATTTCATTCTTCTTCATGGCTGCATAGAATTCCATTGTGTATAGATACCACATTTTCTTAATCCATTTGTCAGTGGTGGGGCATCTTGGCTATTTCCATAACTTGGCTATTGTGAATAGTGCCGCAATAAACATGGGTATGCAGGTGCCTTTGGAGTAACCTGTGTCACAGTCTTTTGGGTATATCCCCAAGAGTGGTATTGCTGGATCTTGCCTCCTTCTGAATTGAAATTATTTTGTTACTTCATTTCACTTCCTCTACTAATTTGGAAGCTAATGCAGTTCATTTATATTATTTTTTGTTGGACTTTGGACTCCATAAAGTGGGGCAGAGAAAGAACAGAAGCTGATGCAGAGGGAGCTAATGAACCAGTTACTGCTTTTTGGATGAGGGAGCAGGCCTGCTGGGAACCTAAGAAAGCAGGGAGAACACACCTGAAATGTATTCTTTCCTAGGAGCAAGGAAGCTGGTGGGTTTTTCACTAGTTCTGATTTGTCACTGGTTAAGGGCCTGAGGGCTGCTGCTTTAACTCCCTGGCATTTCTGGCCTGCCCCATGTAGAGGCTGAATACACTCCTGAAAACAGAGAAAGCCCTCAGGTGGAGTCTCAGTGTTACAGTAAAACCATTGGGATGTATAGGCACAACGAGTGTGAGCAAACACGAGCCAAGCAACACCATCTGCTTAGAATTACAATCTGCATAGTTAACTTACCAAAGTCTATAGAGAATTGACACTGTTGTCCTCTCTGTTCAATAAGGAAATCTAGAACACTTAAACTCCATGTTAAAAGAACTTTAACACCCTAAAACATACAGTCTTTGTAATGTATTTTATTTCCACCTTGCTTAGTTAACCACGTATGTTTCTTAGCTGTCTACTCATTGTTTTACATTTCCTTTTCTCTCTATGCTGCATTTTATATAATTTCTTTTAGCTTATTTTCCAATTTTTAAGTTCTCTCTTTAATTATGTCTACAATTCTGTTAAATCCTTCTACTGATATATACGTGTAGTATATGTATATAATACATATCTACATATCAACATTTTAGTAGGTTTTTTTAAGGGAAAGATTACGTCTTGAGAGTTAGTTACAATGCTAGAAGTTGACATGTCAATATAAGTAATCTTTTCTCTACCAACTATAAACAATACTGATGTTTAATTGTTTTCTAGTTTTAGCAAGGATTTATTTTAGAATAACAGGATAAAGGTATGAGGATGGGGGACAGAAAAAGAGACAGAAACATTTCCTTTTCCTCATGCAGGAAACGGGAGCAAAGACTTCCTGGTGTTTATACTTTTGGTTTTTATAGTACATTCTAGCATTACAGTTGATTTAGCAGCCTCTAGCATCTACAGTATGTTTTTTGAGGAAAGAGTGTCAGACTACCTCAATCTTTTGTACATAAGGTGATGACTGGGATAATGAACCAAATGCTTTACCATGTAGTCCATGAGATGAGCAGCTATCAGTGAGCCAAACTCTCGGACAACATGGAAATGGCACACTTTCCTTCCCTTACCTTTGTCTCTTCCTTCATATGTGCATTCATGTAGGAGTAGATAGAGGGTCACTAGAAACATGCAGTTTTCTATCTGCAGTAAAATCTGACTCTGACTATAAATCTTGGAAGCTCTGGAAAAGGTAGGGAAAATTATGACAAGGCAAAGGACAAGGAGTTCTACAGTATCAAAGCCACATATAAAGGATGTAACCACTATTTTTTAAGTTCCCAAATACATTGACCCATGAGTGGACCTAGACAGGGTGCATTTCCCAAAGTAAGGATTTAATGTAAAAGATGTTAAAATAAAATTTCTCAGTACCTTGGATAGGATGGGTGCTATCATTCCCATTTACAAAACTCAACTGAGGTGTAAAAGTCTCCAACCTGAGTTTTTCTGACTGCCTGTTATTATATAAATTATTGTTAACAAACCAAGACAGCAACTTGTGTCCTCTGACTTTGAGTTCTGGGTGTTTTCTGCTGTGCTCCATGGCCAAGACAGTCAGGAGAAGCAGAAAAGTTCTGCCCTGAGCCTTGGATCATTCATAAAAACTCCTCATTTTGATAAAAACTCTGTGAGTTGACTTTCAAAGATTCAGTATGAAACCATGTGCCAGCAGCATATAACTTTCTACAAGAGGCAGTATCAGTGCTACACTGAACTCCTTTAACTAACCCCATCACTACTTGGAAGACAGGGTCAGGGACAGAAGTAAGTACAGATGCCACCATCTGGAATGATCAGAATAGAGTCACGTGCTGAGGGTGAACAAAAAAAGACAGTTGAGCCTTCCAGCCGTCCAAAGCTAGGCACAAGGAAATATGAAGAAAGGAAGATAAATAAGCTGCCTAAATGTTTTTTTAGTCCACAGGCCCAGTTAAATACCCTGCAATTTGTTTCCATTATGTTCTCCTATTAATGATTCTCTCCTCACTTGAGATTCTTTGAGTGAGTTTCTGTGCCTTATAACCAAAGGGTCCTTGCTGAATCATCACCCATGGATAGATTCTTGGCCTTTTGGCTATGATCAAGTGTAATACCTGCTCTTATCAGTTTAATATCTAACGCATCCTTGTCTGAGAACAATATAGTAAATGAATTTTTGGTTCAGGGAGCTTGCTCTGTCCACTCCACACATTGACCCTACATTGCAGTACTTCCAGGAATGGTGCATCCCATCCTGCAATAAAAAACAAGAATTCATCACCCATGAAATACCGGATGCTGCAAGGACAATTGTCAATTATCAACCAATATTTTAAACATCTACTAGGTAGGCTAACCCATGATGTAGAGTAAAGGACATAAAGAGAACTGAGCTCCTTTACCTAAGGGAGCTGGTCATTTAGTTTTTCATATATATAAAATTAAGTTTATCATACATGAAAACTTGGGGAGAAGAAAAATTGACAGACAAAACCAGGAGCAAATATATGTAGCACAAAGTCAAGTATTTGGTTGGGCAGAATGAATTTTAAGGGTAATTTGAGTTCAGGAACAGAAATTTAAGGAATTCTTAAAGGAAGTATTGGCTTGAAGTTTACTTTGAAAGAATTGCTAGGATTTGAGCTGACCAGCAGGAGTAGGAGGTCTTGAGGAGCTGAGTAGTGACAGTGCTGGGTTGAGCTGCAGATGCAGGGATAGAGGGGCGTCAGCATGAGAAGAGTTTCAGGTTTGTTGGATGGCCTGGACTTTACAGAAAGCCTTGTCCAGGTTTTTTAAATTACTCTTTCCAGATTTCATCTGAAATTCCTTCTTTAGCCAAAATTTCTCAGCTCTGAACACATTTCCTACCCTCTTCTCTTTTCTTTCTCTTACATGCATAAATTTAAGTCATTCTTTGTGACTTGTTTTTTAGGGGTAATCACTACAGGAATGTGAAGAATGTTGGTGCTATTAAAAAATGACCCAAGTCTTTGAACTTAGAAATTTGTCTATGAGAAGTAATTTCTATGATGAGCCTGGGGGATTTCTCCTGTCTGCAGACTTTGCAGCAGACTTTCACCCGTGGCAGAACATTGCACGCAGCTCCTGGCCTTCCCTCTCCCTCTCCCCCTCCTACACCTTTTCCTAGACTCAGCTCTTGGAAGAATTTCATCAGTTCCTGGAATAGCCTGAACATTTGTGGCCTACTTCTCTGTTAGTGTTTAACCAAACATCTGTCTTTAAGGGATGGACTGAACTGATGGAAGGAAGATTGATGGCCCAAGACTCAGGAAGACAACTTCTGCAGGGTGACTCTGGTTTCTGGGGGAGAGGAAAGGAGTATTAGTCACTATGGAATCTGGCTTCACCTCCAAAGACACTTATCTCAGCCATTTTCACCCTCGGGATTACCTGCAAAAATATTACAACTTTGGATCCAGAGACTCTGCAGAAAACCAGATTCTTAGGCATCTTCTAAAAACCCTTTTTAAAATATTCTACTTGGGTAAGTTTGTCTGTTGTCTGTGTGTCTCTGTCTAAATTGCGAGGCATAGGGTCTCAGGGCATGACTGGGTTTGTGTGTAGCCATCATTATTTGGCAGTTTCTTGGTACCACCCACTTATTTCAACTGGATAAAAACTGATGCTGGTTTCACTATTTTACAGTTCACAGAGTGCTTTTATATCCATTATTTCATCTGATCAGGCAAAAGGAAAGCCAGGGGGCCTGAATACTGTCCTCGAGTCTACATTGATTTGCTAGGTGACTTGAGGGAGCCACTTAGCCTCAATGGGCCACTTAAGAAATTGAGAGTCTAATACTTACTTGTTTCTTCATTGAAAAGAATATGGTAAATACTCATGGGGTAAAGACTTCCCAATATATTAAGAATGGGGTGCTTGGTGTGTGTGGGAGGGGGATAGTAGGGGGATGGAGAGATATTATAAACTCAGTTTTCAAACAAAAATGAATATTCCCTCACAACTGTTCCTTACTAGTATTTGCATTGTCAGAGTAGCAGTCTTTCTAGATCAGGATCTGTACATCAGATGTAGATCTTTTTTTTCCCCTAGACCTTAAAATAGCCCAGCAAAATATGCTGTACCCTAGACTAGGGGAAGGGATGGAAAATATAAAAAGAACTAAATAAAACAAATCAGAATTTTATCACTTGACGAATACAGTATATGAAATCATAAGAATATCAAAATGAAAAGTACTAGGTTTTAAACCTATAATACACTATCAGATGCAGTAAAATGTTAATTAACTTGAATTGTGTCAGAAAGAAAAATCTATGGAAAAATATCTAAGTTGTTTACTTGAGAAATAAATACAATTAAAATAGAAAGTACAAGGGTGTTACAGTACAAATTAGAAAAGCCAACACTTATTAACTTCGTATTTCTGTAGACTAGACTACCTTTGGTTTGGTAACTTCAACTTAAAACATGCAGCAAAAATAATTATTAATCTTTTCATTAATGTGGGGGAAGGGAATTCAATAACTATATAACAATATCACCCTTTTCCTAAAACAGCAAAATATCACCAGTAAGAAATCTAATACAAACTGTACTTACTTATCTCTTCAATTAAAATTGGAATCCTGACAGCTAGGATCTATTTTTGGGTTTGTTGAATATAGAAATTTAAATGACTTGTTAACTGACATAGGAACTTAATTGCTTCATATTATCTTAAGTGGCTTTTTCTTTCTGCTTCCAAAATACAAACTGAAAAGATGTTTTTAAAAATGGCTTTGAGGGAAGAGTGGTAAATAGTGGATGGTCTGCCTTTGGGGGTCCCCATCACAGTCCGGTGAGGACAATATAAACACAAGTCTGTCCATGACCATATGATGCCTGCTCCCATTTCCCCCTTGGAACAGGTGATGTGAAGGGAGACCTCCTAATTGACATTGGCTCTGGGCCAACCATCTACCAGCTCCTCTCTGCATGTGAGTCCTTCAAGGAGATCATTGCCACTGACTACACGGACCAGAACCTGCAGGAGCTGGAGAAATGGCTGAAGAAGGAGCCAGGGGCCTTTGACTGGTCTTCTGTGGTGACCTATGTGTGTGATCTTGAAGGGAACAGGTAGAGCAACTGTTCTTGGCTTTCTGAGGGTACCTGAGCAACAGTTAATTTGTCTAAACCAAAAATTGTCCTTAGAATCCAAGGTGAGTGGTACAGGCCTATAACCCTAGCACTTGGGAAGCTGAGGTAGGAAGATCGAGAGTTCCAGGCCAACCTGGGCTATATAGTGAGATCCAATCTCAAAATAAATAAATAAATAAATAAATGAGTAAATAGAAGTATTCAAGTTGAAAAGGCAAGGGAACAGAAAGAGAGGAAGCAAAGAGAGATGCAAATGGAGAATGAAAGCTACTGAGAACAGCTTACAAGTGCCAGGGCTTGCCTCCCTGTGCCATTTTGTTACTAGACATCCAAACACAAAAGATGTGCTGTGGATTGGGCGTAATGCTAACACCATCAGAAATAACAAAAAGCCGACTAAAGTTTTTAGATGATATAAAAGACAATGCAACTATGTGAAAAGAATTCTTTATTCACCATCCATAAAATTAGGGCTTACATGCTCATGGGTAATGGTCAAAATCTTCCAGTACCACATCTACAGGTAAGTTTATTGTAACTGAATCTTGTTTAAATTACTGATTTCTTCTCACACAGGAACTTGGCAATAGTTCACTGGATAGAGGTGGCCAGGTCTGTGTTTCACTTTGTCTTTCTCTTGTCCTGATGTCCACTCTTGTCCAGCTGAACATTATTAGCTCCTGGGACATCCTGTGTTTGCTGCTATGCTTATGGCCAAGGCCCCTCAGACTCCTTTACAAACTGCAAATAAAGAGAAGGAGAAAAGGAAAGAGAAAGATGACTGTTCCTTCTAATATCCAACTGACCCGTCTGCTGCTACTTCTTATATACTCAGTTATTCTTTCCTCTCTCTTTTTTTGTGCTCCCTTTCCTGTGTTTCCTGTGTTTTTCCGTCTTTCCCTATCTATGATTTAATTTTCACACGATCTCTCTCTTTCTTTCAGATGCCCCAAATCCACTTTTTCCTACATTTTCCCCATTGTTTAAGTGCTGCATACATTGTGTATTGTATATCCTGTCTTTCCTTTTTTGTCTTTTTATTCACAATGGGAAAGTATATACGTTTTATTATTAAATTTATCTTAATGGATACATAAAAACAAAAATTGTACATATTAATGGGGCATCATGTAATGTTTTGATATATTGGGTCATCTTCAAATGAGGCTAAACATATTCATCTCCTTATGATTAAAACATTCAAATTCTTTCTTCTAGCTTTTGAAATATAGTCCATATTTGCTATCTATTGTCATCCTACCCAGGTGTGAGATTATATATCAAGAAGAAATTGCTGGTAGTTCTATTTTTAATGGTGGTGCTGGGGTTTGGATCCAGGACCTCATGCATACTAGACAAAGGCTCTACTACTGAGCCACACCTCCAGTCTATTTTTAATTTTTGGAGGTACCTCCAACACTATCTCCATAGTGACTATACTAGTTTACATTCTCACTTACAGTGTACAAGAGTTCCCTTTTCCCATATCCTTGCCAGCACTTGTTCTTTTGTCTTGCTGATAAGTCATTCTAACTGGAGTAAGGGCTATCTCATTGTTTGATTTGTATGTTCCGAATGGTAGCTATGTTGAGCTTTTTTATTTGTGCTGGGTGTGAATTGCTACTATTTGCTTAAAATTTTTTGTTCTATATTTATGAGGGATATTGAACTATAATTTTCTTTTCTTGTAATGTGCTTGGCAGATGTTAGAATCATAATGCAAGTTGGGAGTGATTTTTCCTTCTCTGCCTTTTAAAAGAATTTGTTTTTGTCTTATTTTTTTCTTAAACAATTTATAGGACTCATCTGGACCTGAGAAGTTTTTTGGGGGGTGTATCATTATTCAGAATGGTACTTTTTAAAAAAATTGGTACTGGGGTCTGAACTCTGGGCTTATAGCCTACTAAACAGGTGCTCTACCATTTGAGCCACACTTGAGACTGGCCCTTTTTTGCTTCAGTTAATTTTTGCTCTCATTCTTTGCTTGTAGCTGGCCTCAGACTACAATCCTCTCCTGAGTATCCGGGACTACAGGTGTGAGCCACTGCAGAATAATATTTCTTTACTGGCTACTTGTGTTTTCTATTTTTTCTTTTATATCTGTTTTGATAAGTAGCATTTTTCAAGCAGTATATCCTTTTCACCTTTGCTGTCAAGCTTATTAAAATAAAAGTCTGGGTTTAAAAAAAAATTTTTTTACATTATCCTTTAAATTCTCTTTTGTGTCTGTGGGATCTATAGTGATCTCTCTTTTTTTTTTACTCTTCATACTGGTAACATGTCTTTTTGAAAAATCTTGACCTGGAGGTGTGGCTCAAGCAGTAAAGCATCTGCTTTGCAAACATGAAGCCCTGAGTTCAAACCCTAGTCCCACCAAAAAAAAAAGGGCTTTAAAATAGATATTTAAACCTTCTTTTGGGCTGCTGGCATGGCTCAAGTGATAGAGTGCCTTCCTAGCAAGTGTGAGGCCCTGCATTCAAGTCCTAGTGCTACCAAAATAAATAAATAAATAAAAATTCTTGATTATCTTGCTAGAAATTGGTCGATTTTACCGATCTTTTAAAGAACCAACTTTTCCCCTTATTTTCTCTTTTGTCTGTCTATTTTTCTGTTTTATTGGTTTTTGGATCTTATTTTTCTTACTTTCTTTCTCCCATTTTAATTCTTTTCCTAATTTCTTTTTAATTCATTTTCTAGTTTTCTAACATTTTTGTCTTAATTCTTCTGTCTTCTTTATTTAATTACTCAATTTACTAATTGCAGTACTGGGGCTTGAACTCAGAACTTTGGCTTGTTATGCAGGCGCTCCACCACTTGAGCTGTGCCGCCAGCCCTCTTTTAGCTTATTTGGAATGATGTTTAGACTGTTGCTTTAACATATTTCTTTCTTCTAATGTAGGCATTTAAAACTGTAAGTTTCCCTCAGCGCTGTTTTAGCTGGATACCGTGATTTTTGATATGTCTTTATCATCTGATTCATATTTTTCTAATTCCTTTTGCAATTTCTTTCCCCTTCCTTCCTCCCTCTGTCCTTCCCTGCCTCCCTCCTTTTCTTTCTTTCTTTCTGGTACTGAGGAGCAATTTCTTTTTTGGTCATGAGTTATCTAGAATTATGTTGCTTAAGTTATAAACATTTTAGAATTTTCTTGACATCTTGTCATAATTTTGTTGTACTTGGAGATTTATCTCTACGGCCCGGCATATTCTCTGTGCTTTCTACATCAAAAAGGATGAATACTGTCCACTTTATAGGTATAGCTTCTATAAAAATCAATTAGGTCAGGCAGGATGATAATATTTTTCAAATTTTCTATGCCCTCACTAACTTTTTGTTTACTTGTTCTATCAATTACATGGAGAGATGTTGCCATCACAAACCATGATTGTGGTTTAATCCCTTGCTCCATACAGTTCTATCAACATTCATGTCATGCGTTTTGAAGCTCTGTTTTTAAGATTGTAATATCTTCTTGATGAATTGACTCTTGACCATTATTATGAAATATTTCCCTTTATCGACAGTAATATACTTTTTTTTTAAAATTTTTTCTTGTTTATTCATATGTGCATACAATGTTTGGGTTATTTCTGCCCCCTACCCCTCATCCCCTCCCTCTCCCCCCCACCCTCTCACTTCCAGGCAGAAACTGTTCTGCCCTTATCTCTAATTTTGTTGAAGAGAGAGTATAAACAATAATAAGAAGGACAAAGCATTTTTGCTAGTTGAGATAAGGATAGCTATACAGGGAGATTCCTAGCATTGCTTCCATCCACAAATGTGTTAAATTCTAGGTTGATTGTTCTTGAACTGACCTCTTCTCTGGTTCCTGATCCCCTTCTCCTATTGGCCTCTGTCATTTTAGTTTCTGCATTAGTTCCTTTGCATTGAGGACATCAAATGCTGTCACGTTTTTCGGGTAATGTGTGCTCTCACCTTATCATGTGACCAAAGTCCAATCACATTACTGTTTTAGCCCTAGATCTAAAGTCTGTGTATGAGGGAGAACATACAATTATTGGCCTTCTGAGCCTGGCTAACCTCACTTAGGATGATGTTCTCCAGTTCCATCCATTTACTTGCAAATGAGAAGATTTCATTCTTCATGGCTGCCTAAAATTCCATTGTGTAGAGATACCACATTTTCTTAATCCTTTTGTCTGTGGTGGGGCATCTTGGCTGTTTCCATAACTTGGCTATTGTGAATAGTGCTGCAATAAACATGGGTGTTCAGGTGCCTCTGGAATAACCTGTGTCACAGTATTTTGGGTATATCCCCAAGAGTGGTATTGCTGGATCATATGGCAGATCTATGTTTAGATTTTTAAGAAGCCTCCAAATTTTTTTCAAGTGGTTGTACTAGTTTACATTCCCACCAACAGTGTAAGAGGGTTCCTTTTCCCCACATCCTCACCTGTTATTGGTGGTGTTTCTAATGATGGCTATTCTAATAGGGGTGAGGTGGAATCTTAGTGTGGTTTTGATTTACATTTCTTTTATGGCTAGAGATGGTGAGCATTTTTTCATGTGTTTTTTGGCCATTTGAATTTCTTCTTTTGAGAAAGTTCTGATTAGTTCAGTTGCCCATTTCTTTATTGGTTCATTAATTTTGGGAGAGTTTAGTTGTTTGAGTTCCCTATATATTCTGGCTATCAGTCCTTTGATGTATAGCTGGCAAATATTTTCTCCTACTCCATGGGTAGTCTCTTCATTTTAGAGACCATTTCTTTTGTTGTACAGAAGCTTTTTAGTTTTATGAAGTCCCATTTGTCTATGCTATCTCTTAGTTGCTGAGCTGCTGGGGTTCTATTGAGGAAGTCCTTGCCTATACCTATTACTTCCAAAGAGTACACTTTATTTTAAAGTTTACTTTCTCTGATGTTAATACAGCCACCAACCTTCCTGTGGTTGGTGTTTGCATAGTATTGTTGACAGCCTTGTCCCAAGTATTCACACCTGTGCAACCCTTCTCTTATAACAT